GACACCCACAACTAATTACTGAACTGAACTGGAACCCAGATGCAGAGAAGGACGAGTGAAGAGCAAAGGGGTCTAGACCAGGCTGGTGAAACCCACAGAAACAGCTGACCTGAACATCGGGGAACTCTTGCTCCCCAGACTGATAGCTGGAATACCAGCATGGGACTGATCCAGACCCCAGGAACATGGGTTTCAGTGAGGAAACCTCGGGAATCTATGGGACCTCCTGTAGAAGTTCAGTACTTATCCCTAACATAGGTGTGGACTTTGGGAGCCCATTCCATATAGAGGAATACTCCCTGAGCCAAGATACACGGGGGTGAGCCTAGGCCCTATCCCAAAGGATACGATAGACTCTGATGACACCCTATGGAAGGCCTCACCTTCCAGGGGGAGCAGAAAGGACATGTGATAGGTAGGGTTTTAGTTGGGGGGGGTAGGGTAGGACGGGAGGGAGAAGGGAGCTGGGATTGTCATGTAAAACAATCCTGTTTCTAATTCAAATTAAAAAAAATCTGAAAAAAAAAAGAATAGTTCATGTGGAGGCACTTATCAGTTGTTGTCTCCCCACCTGTATTTATGTGTGTTCACTCAACAGCTCCACTAGTTGCAAAGCTTTGTTATCACAGTCATGGTATTTGTAAACTGTCTGAAACTAAAGGATAGGAATAAAATCATTTTCTTGTATTAAAAAAAATAAATCATGGGGAATGGCTCAGTTGTAGAGCACTTGTTTCAACCTCCTGTAACACACACACATACACACAGAGGCAGAGGAGGAAGAGGGGGAAGGAAGGAGAGGAGGAGGGGGAAGGAGAAGGAAGAGTTACCCACATAAGTCAGTGGGATTATGTCCTGACTTCCCAGACATGGTCCTTGCCCTTCCTGTGTGGGTTTCTCTAACCAGAGCCTTAAAGACTTCTTGTGCAGTGCCCCTCTATGGTGTTTGCTACTGCTACCCACCCTTTCTCTCTGTCACTGCAGCTGTTTACAGCCACCAGCAAGTCTGCTGCTTCTCAGCTTCACACCGAGACCCTCAGGGTTCTCCCTGCTTTCTCTTCTCTCCAGTTCTCACTAAACAACATTAAGCACTAACTTACTATGAAGCGTAGAAGGATGCCACTCTGGAGACAGATTCTTAGTTGAACAAAGGCCTCCAGGTGACTGTAATGGTATCAGGAAGCATATTAGAGGCTGAGAAGACACCTTGCTCATGACTGGGGAGATGGGAACATGAGGATCCCCGGGGCTCGCTGGCTTGCCACTCAGCCTCGATACATCAGTAAGTTGCAGGTAAAAGTGTGAGACCTTATCTCAGAAAACAATATGGAAAGCCAGGCGTGGTAGCACATAACTTTAAGCCCAGCACTCGGGAGGCAGAGGCAGACAGGTCTCTGTCAGTTTGAGAGCAGAGTGAGTTACAGGCCAGTCAGGGCTACATAGTGAGACCCTGTCTCAACAAAACAAAAACAAACAAAAATCTACCCATAAACAAAATATATATACAAGATAGAAGACAACTGAGGTTGTTTTCTGGCCTTCACACACACACACACACACACACACACACACACACACACAAAGTAATTTAATTAACTAATTAAAATGTAAAAGCCTCGGGAGAGATCCCACAATCCTTCCATTATGAAGAAGTCAATTGCTTATGAAGAGGCCAGCTGTTGTAGCTTGAATACAAAATGCAGTCTTCCCAGGCTCTTATATCCCCAGTTGCGGTGCTTCTGGGGGAGGGTCTGGAAACTTTGGAAGGTGGAGACCAGCTGTAAGAAGTAGATCACCAGAGGTGCCTCTTGGGTATATCTTGTCCCAGTCCCTTCCTGCCTCCTCTCTGTTTCCTGTCCATCATGATATAAGCTGTTCTACCCTGACTCTCACCATGATGAACCGAACCCTCAGAAAACATCGACCAAAATAAATCCCTCCTTTAAATCATCTATGCTGGGTGTTTTGCCCACAGTGACAAACAGCTAATACCACAGCCCTTGGGTGTCAGCCTCTTGAAATATGAGGAATATACATTCTTGCTCATAAGTTACCCAGTATATGACTTTTGTTTGTTTTTCAAGACAGGGTTTCTCTGTGTGGCTGTCCTGAAACTCACTCTGTAGACTAGGCTGGTCTTGAACTCACAGAGATCCACCTGCCTCTGCCTCCCTAGTGCTGGTATTAAAGGCGTGTGCCACCACTGCCCGGCTCAGTATATATTTTCTTACAGTAATTAGACTAAGACAGTCAGTTAATTAAGTGAATTTTCACTTAATCTTCTTCATATTATTTCATTTCATCTTAATCTATTGCCTTACAGCTCTGCTTGTATGAGTGCAATTTGAGGCTGGACAGCTTAATCCATTTTTTTATTGCGCTAGGAAAATGCCTGAATCTGGGTGATGTGTAAAAATGTATGTATCTGTGTGTGCGTGTGTGTGTGTGTGTGTGTGTGTGTGTGTGTGTGTGTGTGTGGACTTACAAGTCTTGGAGACTTAAAGTTCAAAATCGGATAGCCTCATCTGTTCAGCTCCAGGAACAGGCTTCTGGCTACACCACATAGTAAATGGCACAGTTGGGGACAACATGTGAGAGTGAACAATTGCATGATGAGCCAGGAAGCCAGAGGGGTTCGGGCTTCAGGCATTCTTTACATCAACTTTGTCTGGTGAGAGCTAATGTGGGCACTTTAAGAACTACATCCATCTATTCAGGGGGTTACACCTCCATGGCCTATACGACAGGCCTGTCATCATTTCCACAATGGGGGACAAGCTTTGGGAGACACACTCAGTGCCACACCTGACTGCCATCACAGACTTAACATGGCCTGTTTCTAGGAAAGAGCAAGGTGAGCAGACAGTGGGGTTAAACGACAACAATTTGCAAGCCGCCACTCAGTCAAGAGGGGTTTGTGAATCTTATATGTCAGAATCTTTCAATTAATACATGCAGGATGTAACCCCTTGTTGTGAATGCCCTTGTTGTTATGTCACCCAGAGCCCCTCCTCTGAGCCAGGGTACCCCCTCCCCAGGGGCTGGAAATCTGAGGATTTACAGATACAGGCTTTGCAGGGACAGGAGAGGAGATCCCTCCAAGGGGAATGATTCGTTGATGCAAGAACAAAAAAAAAAAACATTGAAGTCACGTTCAAATTTTAAAACTGTCCCCTGGAAATAAGAGAAGGGCATGGGAATACACACAGGCGGTCCCAGACTCCTTCAGATTGAGCCCCCCCCCAAAAAAAACCAAAACCAAAAAACCAAACAAAAAACATGGTGTGTTGATAAGATGTGATGTTAATACAAATCCTTTTTTAGTATTCTCTGGTCTCTATTGTGTGTCAGATGACCATCATAATGAAAAAGATCAGTGGGACCAAGAATACGAGTTAAATTCCACCAGCTGAACACCTTGACAAAGAACTTTCCAGAAATACCGATTGAAAATAGAGCCAGGGCTGGGACTTGATGGCAGAGGGCTTACTTAGCACACCCAAGACTCTGGATTTGATCCCAGCACCACCAGCAATCAATCAAACAAGCAAACAAACCACTTACATGTTAGGCAGGAATTTCCACTCCTCCCAGGGACTTTTCTCAAAGCTTCACTTTGGTACCAGGTCCCATTCGCAGACATTAGAATTCATTCCAAAGCCAAAGGCATGGCCTTCTCTCTACAAACTTAAACTCCTTTCTTCAACATAGAGCTTAAACCAAGCCGAACCCTCGGCAGAGTCCTCCTGGAAGTACAGAAGCCCTCGGGGTGCTTACCTGAGCTGCCTAGGATGCACATTATCTGCCCACTCTCGAGGTACAAGGAGACATCTTTGAGGATTTGCCTGTCCCACCGCTGCTGGAAGGACCTGATGTTCCACCAGGGCCCGACACGGTTGCTTTAAAGGAAATCCCACAAGGACAAGAGCAGTGTAGGGTTCTGGGAGGGGCCAGACCCCTGCTGCCCAGCCCAGAACCCACCTCTAGCCCATCTCAGCATCCCAGTTGCTCCTGGACAGTTTGGCATCTTTATTTCAGGCTCTCTGCCCTTGGAAGTGTAGTGACTACCGGTTGACCACCACCCAAGGAATGTACTTCCCAATAGCTGGGTCTCTCTGTCTGGCTGCGGGATGGTAACCTGCACTGTGTTTATTCTTGAGGTGAACCCAGCATTCCTTCAGCAGGCTTAATTCCACCTTGTGCCCCCGCCCCCAGCTTTCTAAGCCCTCTCCGTCCACACAGGGCAGGTAGTGGACAATCCAAGGAAGGGGTGTGGGTAGCAGAAATTGGTGCAGCACAAATGGGCAGGGGAGGAGCTACTCACTGTTGCCCACTGCCTGATAGCAGTCTTGCCTACTTCCATCCTGATCTGCTAAACAGGTGTCCCAAAGCTCCCAGGTCCACCACCCACTTGGTGGGAAAAGGCAGCAGAGATGGTGAGAAGCCCAGCTTTCTGCTGTGGGGTAGCCTTACCTGACACTGAAGGAGACATGGAGGACACCTAAGCTGTGCCGAGCCTCAGAGCCAATAATAGATTCCTCCTCCAGGGAGCTCTGAGAACTTCTGTTGATGTGAGGCCCTCCGGCTCCCTCTGGGCTCAGAAAGGGCATTTCACTCATGGCCAGCAGGAAACAAATGCAAGTGAATTTTCTAGTGACCTGTCCCTCTCCAGAGTAGCTTCAACTGAGGACCCAGTGGGAGTGCCCTGTCTGATCTTGCCCAGCCCTGGAGTCCCTCGTGAGACAGCAGGACACCGATTTGGCCACCGATGCAATTATCTGATGTACCTTTAGCCAGGGTGTCCTTATCTCCACAATAGGCAGAACACACAGTGTGTTTGTAGGAGGGCTTGCCAGAGAGGAATGCTGGGAAAAAGGCTGGCACAGAGAAGGAGGGCTCAGGTGGCCAGGCTCTAAGGAACAAAGACAGAGAGAACACTGTCCTGGTCACTAGCAGTGAAGGCCCACAGGAGCCACACAGAGGGACAAATGTCACAGGTCATGGCTGAGAAGACCACAGAGGGAACCCAGATGTGGAATGGGGCTATACTTCAGGATGCTTCGGTGAGTAAGTTTGGTCCTGGGGGGGGGGGGGGGGCAGAGTGGAATTGGTCTTTCTTTCCTACCTCAGGAGTTTTAGTTCCAATTCTCCACCCAGACATCAAGTAGAGTGGAAATGGGGTAGCAAGGCCCTGTCTCCTCAATGTTGAGGGGCTGTTGGGAGCAAGTTCAGGAGCCAGGAGACCTCTGAGGTCACTTCCCCGATGTTCTTGTGGGTGACTGGAATTGATGTAGGTTTCCAAAGGACATTCTGTTACAGAAACTCCCCCCCCCACACACACACACAAACAAACAAAAAAAAACCTAGGTCTTTTCTGATAGTATTGGCCCATGTGGCTGTCAGACCAAAAAATCTCAGTGGTAGTCAAGACCCAGAAGTAAGAGGCTGGCAAATGGCTTTTATTAGGGCGCCAGATTGTCTATGCTTGCAATGAATTGGGAGAGACCTGGAATGAACAGACAGCTGCCAGGTAGGTCCAAGGCTTCCTTTCTCATCACGCCAGAGAAAGGTTTGCTTGATAAATGGCCTCTGAGTGTGGCTGTATGCTGGCTTTGAAGCAGAAAGTAATACTGAAAGACAGCGAAGGTTTCCCCACCCACGGCTTCCATGCCCCGCCCACTTTTCTAGAGAGAAAAACAAGAAGGAAACATCCACTTCCGACAGAGAGGCCATAGTCCTGTGCTCTGGCCGAAGTAGAGTTGCCTGGGATTGACCAACATAGGCAATACTATCTAGTCAATTCCACTGCCACAGCAGCAGCCAACTCTGCTGTCTGAATTCACCACGAGGCAAACATCAATGAGAAAATAACTTCCTCTGTCACCTGGAACGCCGATGCTGACTTCCTGTATAGGATACAGTCAGTGGCAGTTTGGAGTCTTTTGCCCCTCAGGTTACTGCCATAGCTAAAGAGGCAAAGAATGGTCCGATTTCTGTCTCTGCGAGCGATCCTGCCATTTCCAAGTCCCTCCTCTTCGGTTCTGTTTTTGTAGGTGACCTGCCACTGACAACCATGGGGGCTTGTATAAAAACAATGAGACTATCGTGTCCTGTGACTCCATACTTAAAAGCTGTTCAGTTAAGCTAATAGCTGTTCAATGGTTTCCCTCCTCTCACCTCTGCTTGTAAAGTTAGAAAGCTGGGGTTTCTTGAGGAGCTGGCTTCTGGTCCATACCATACCCATCCCCTTTTTCTGCCTGCCCAGTGTCTCACTCCACAAGGAATTCATACAGGGGCCACACACTTTCCACACGCATTCTAGGCAGGCCTCCTGCTGACAGCTGCTCCTCTAGCCACTGAGCTTGCCCTCCGAGTTTCACCGAGTTTCTTCTGACTCAGAAATCCAACCAGAAGTTAATGTGAGGAGACATTATACTGTAACCCTGAAGGAGTAGAGCTGGTTACCTATAAATAAAAAGCCGCTTTCGCTTTTTCGGGTGTCACCTGTCACACATTCAAATGATGTTCTGACAGTCATACTGATTAAAGTGTCAGCTGAATAGATATTTAAGTATTTAAGAAATACAGAGAATTTGTCAAAACCTCAGGAAGAATCTAACAAATCCTTCCTGGGTGCCAAGGAAAATATTTTAAAATGGAACAGAAGTCATCCCCAAGCCAGACACGATTCCCCGCCCACCCCTCACCGGATACTGGGTTCTCTCTGTGGCTCCTGGAAAACCAATCTCTCCATGGTGTCTGGGGTTGAGTGAATCAGAGTATCAAGCTGGGCACTGCCCAGATGAATCCCTCTGTCCCTCCCTGTATTCCATTCTGTCCTCTATGTCCACCTAAACCCCAGGATCTCCATGCCTCTCAAGTCCCAATAGCGGGGTAACTTGAGAGCTCACCCCCAACCCACCAGACACAAACTATCCAGTGTTCCTGGCTCAGCAGTCCCTCCATCCCTGAATTCAACGGAAACTTTGTGTCTGCAGAAGCAGCTAAAGAACTAATTCCTATTTCATGTAAATCAAGGAAGACCTCTCCAGAAGATAACTGATTTGGAAACAGGAAAAAACCTAGGGACTGGGGGCGTGGCTATGTCCCTTGCAGGTTTGAGGCCATGGATTTAATTACCCAACACAGAAAAACCAAAGAGCAGCTCCACTATAGCCCTATTGCAGAGAGCACAATTGTATTGCCAGAGCTGAAAGGGGCAGGTGAGAGAATGGTGGGTGGTCAGATATTGGGCATTAAAATGAGATGAGAGACTAAGTTCTAATGTTCTGAAGCACAGTGGGGTGACCACAGTTACACACACACACACACACACACACACACACACACACACACACACACACACACACACACACACTTATATATACATCTGTGTGTATGTGTGTATATGTATATACATATACACACTTTTTTTTTAATTAAGATCAGAGAATGGGGCTGAAGAAGTGGTTTAGACGTTAAGAACAATTGCTGCTCTTGCAGAGTTACCAGGATTTGGGTCCCCTCACACACAGAATGGTTCATAAGCATCCATAACTCCAGGTCCAGAGGTCTCCATGGCCTCTTTTGACCTCTGAGGGTGCCAGGCACATATGTGGTGCATATACATGCACAAAGGCAAATACACATACACACAAAATAATTAAAAAAATTAATTTCAAAACAGATGACCCAAGAGAATTATTTGGTGTTTTCCCTCACAAAGTAATGATAAATGGTGGAGGGGATGGAGGTGCTGAAGCTCCCACTTGACCATTACCCATTGAATATATGTATCAAATGATCACACAGAAAATTCAAATATACCATCACCCCAACAATAGCAGCGGCATAGTCATTGCGGTGATAATGGCAATGATGATGGTGATTGTAGGGGCTTCCTCTGAAATGTAACCCAAAGGATATTCAAGGGCTTTGTGTCACAATATCCCTTACCACTGTAAGATGGGTGACACCTTCACAGACACTCAGGGTCAACTCGTCTGTCTCTTTCTCATGGTATCTCTATTTGGCAGTAGATGGTATTAGGCCAGGTACAGGAAATGAAAGTCAAACATGAGTTCATTGGCTCCCATTGGCATCTGGAGTGGCATTCGTCTTAAACTGGTGGATTCAGGGGTGCCAGCCCAAGGTTGAGGGTCTCCGAGGCTGCAGCTGTCCCAGAAAAGCCCAGGGACTCCTGAAAGGTGACACCGCCCATCAATGTTCCCATTTTTCTCAGAGTCATGAGGTGCCACATGCACGATCCCAACACCTGTCAGTGTGGGATCTCCTCCCCATTGCCAGCAGCTGCCTGTGACTCTCAGGTCCCCTCCTGTGTCTTCTATGTCCTCAGCTACTTGTGAAGGGGGCCCTCACCTGTCATTTCTCAAAGCAGGGCCTCCAGGACAGCTTGTTTTCCTCTGAAAGTGACAACAGCCTGTACTTCACCTACAGTGGCCAGTCTAACACTCTGGAGGTCAGAGATCTCACCTACCAGGTAGGGGCACATGCCTGAGTTGAGGAGAGAAAAGTGGGCAGGTAACAAAATGTTTGGGGAGAGGAAGGGTAAGCCCAACCTGTAGGTTCCCTAACCCCAAGGATGAAGCTCTGTCTCCCCTGGTGAAGGTGAAGCCCCCACCTTCAGCCAGAGGTGTGGAAAGGGTGGAGGCCCCTGGGAAGATGTTAAGGTTCACTGTGAAGGCCTGCAGGAAATGTCTCTGGAACTCATAACGTGTGTGTGTGTGTGTGTGTGTGTGTGTGTGTGTGTGTGTGTGTGCGTGCACGTGCACGTGTATCATATACACATAATATATGTGTGTACACAACATGCATGTGATATAGCTATTTATATATGATATATGTAAACATTATAGATAGATAGGTAGGTAGATAAATAGACAGGTGATAGTAGGTGGATGGATGGATGGATGGATGGATAGACAGACAGACATATCAAAGGGGCTGGGATGATGGCCCACTCAGTAAAGTGTCTGAGGTACATGCATGAGGGCCTAAGCTCAGATCTCCAGAACACATAGAGGAAAATCTGGCCTGGGAGGCATATTCGGCAGTCCCAGAGCCAGGTGGGTCCATAGATCTCATTCAATTGTTCCAGGTTCAGCAAGAGACCAGGTCTCAAAAGTAAGGTAGAGAACAATTAAGGAAGACAGTACCACTCATCTCTGGCCTCCACACACATATATGCAAGGTGTGTTGGCACCCACAAGTGCAGGAAACACACACAGCAAAACACAGTGTTTCCACATACCCTTTGTGTGGCTTCCCTCAAAGTCAACATCTTGCAAACTACATTGTAATTACCAAAACTAATAAATTAACAATAGGCTCTTAACTAAATGACAGAGTTTATTGAAATTTTATTTTTTGCATCTATCTATCTATCTATCTATCTATCATCTATCATCTATCTATCTAATCTATCTCTACATATATCTCTATCATCTATCTAATCTATCTATATCCATGTAATCTATCATCTATCTATATGGATCTATCTATCTAATCCATCTATATCTATCTATCATCTATATCTATGTAATCTATCATCTATCTATATGTATCTATCTATCATCTATATCTATTTATGGTTTAGTTTATAAAATGTGTTGTTCTATTGCAGATAAAGTATGCAGAATGAAAAGGAAACTATGGGAAGATCTCAGCAATGCCCTTATCAGAATTCAATGACTCCCACTCCCCCACTTCCCCAGGGTAGACTACCTGCTGCCCAAGTAGGATTGTAAAATTCAGAGTCCCAAGCTGGCCTTTTTGTGGATGTGAGCTAGAACAAAGGAATGAGCCATTTTGTAACCTTTCTCTGCTCTGCCATGAGCTGTAAACTGTGTGAGCTTGAGCAAATTCTTTAATTGCTCTGAACAGGGTCTGTGAAACAGACGATGCTAGTACCCATGCCATAGGCTTGCAATGGGATAAATGATGCGGTGTGGTTGTTGTAATGCCTTGCAGGTGGTAAACACTTGCTGTTTTCTGCTATTTCACATTCTTTCTGGTCCCCTTAACTCTAGACTTGAACAGGACACTTGTGGGGTCTCACTGCCATGTTTGGTAGGATCTGTGTGCCTTGAGATCTATTGTGTCTCGGGAGCATGGTGTCTCCCGAGAGAAGATTTATACAAGGCACAGGAGAGCTAAACAGACTCTGCTAATGTTTCCCCACAGGTGGACATCGCCTCTCAGGTGCCTTGGTTTGAACAGTTGGCTCAGTTCAAGATACCTTGGAGGTCTCACAGCAACAAAGACTCCTGTGATCTGGGCATTCAGAATCTGAGCTTCAAAGTGAGGAGTGGGCAGATGCTGGCCATCATAGGAAGCTCAGGTACCAACAGAGGCAGTTGTGGGCAACGGCTCTTCTCCCCCGGGATGCAGAATAGCCTTTGGTCGTGGATCCCGCTTGTAGAACTCTAGGAAAGACAGAGTAAGATGGCAGAGTGACTGAGAACACAGGGTCTGGGTCAGACAGATCTGGGCTCAAATGTCACCTCCTGCATCCACGAACTCCTGGATGTTGCTACTGTTGTGAACCCAGGTGTGACTTTGGTCCACCTGAAGCTGCAGCCGTAGTGTCTGCCTCCTGTTAACACTGTGTTAAGACAAGGTACAGGCAGCTTCAGAACATGATGTCCCTCACAGCCAGACTCGGGTCACGGCCAGACAATGACTCGGCAGGGCCCCGACGCCACTGACCCCTCCACAGTCCCAGCATAACCTTCAACTATCTGCAAAGAGCCAGATCCTCGGGGTGTCTCAGTCAGTCACTTTCACGGGTCAAATCTGAAATTACAGAACCTCAGAGGTGTGAGGGCTTGGAGAATAGTTCATTTTCCTTAGTTTATTCCGCCTTCCTCCCTTCCTGTCTGGAAGCATTTTAGGAAGATTTTCAAATCACCTAGTCCTCCGTACTTCTAGAATGTTCTTTGTGTCAATTCTCATGTAGATACACATGCGTGTGCATTCGCATGCACATGAATGTGCTCTCTCTCTTTCTTACACACACACACACACACACGTGTTCATTTGACAGATAAGAACACTAAATCCAAAAGAGTCGAGCGAGTCTCCTGAAGACACAAATTTAGCTAGAGCTTAGATCTTGCACTTGGTTCTTCCCTGGTTTCCTTTACACGGTATTAGAGAGAGTACTTTATACTTTTTAATTAATCATTTCCAGAAGGAAAGATTACTCAACACTTTGAACATCTGTTCCAAACTTTTACACTCTTCTGATAGAGTTGTTTACTGTCTAACCAAAGATCAAATGGGCTACGATATGTAAACGCACTTTGTAACTGAAACAACATGCACACTCATTCAGGCCCTGTCACCCTGGCCCTGACCCTGTGACTCTTACCTAAACAAGAAAAAACTTGACTTACCATGTCTGGTGGCTTTTCTTGTTGTAGCTGTTTCTGTGGGGCATCCAGGAGACACGTGGGCCGTTACTCAGTCATGACGATGAATACCGGCGAAGACTTGGTCTATACGGTGCTCTAGCCAGCAGCATTCCTGATTTATAATAAGGAAGGTGGAGTTCAGAGAGCCTAAGCAGGAATCATATTGACTAATGTTCCGGTTCAGGCTCAGCTTTGCTTGGCTTCTAAGTTACTTGACTGAAATGGTTGAACCTTTCTTAGAAGGGTTTATTCATTACACTTCCTATGACTTCAAGTACTTTAATTAGTATCACACACCAGGAATATGAATGTACATGCTAGCCATACAAAAGGATTTCCAGTTAATGAAGTTACTGGTGAGGCAACGGCAGCCACATTATAAGGCTCTTGAGTGCCGTGCTCTTTGTTTGCCCAATGCACCAGGTGCCTCTGCTGGAAAGGCTGCCTCCATCTTTTGCCACAGGTTTGCTTAGGAAGTGTGACCTTCCTGCCCTCTGTCAGAGGATCCCCTGGTACCTGTGAATGCTGGCACAGGCTCCTGCACTCGCAGAGGCTGGAGGCAATGTCTGTGGCTGAACAGGGAACAGGGCTGAGGCCTCTCTCTCTCTCTCTGGTTCCTCTTGGGGATATTTTGTTCAACCTAACCTTTCAGGAAGCCTCAATGGCACACACCCAGCAGGCAGGCTACAAGATGCCCCGACTCCGAGCCCCTGGACACTAAGCAAGAGGATCACATCCAAAGACCACTGGGCTCTTGGATTTTGCAGGCAGCATGTGACATGTGTCAAGGTGGACTTGTCATATACTGTCTATAGGCATTTGCCTTGCTTACAAAAGAAAAAGAAGCTATTAATTCCATAAAAGCCTCCACAGTGAGGACACCCAAACCTTTCCTGGGAGAGCCAGGCAGAATATCTCCATCTTGGTGATAGGCGGGTGTTGTCTAAGCTTAAGGAGTGCTCACATTACAGTTTAAATAGTTATAGGAGATCCAGATGGTGGTGTCTGTCACGTGCCTTTAATCCCAGCACTTAGGAGACAGAGGCAGGCAGATCTCTGAGTCTGAGCCAGCTTGGTCTACAGAGTGAGTTTCAGGATAACCAGAGCTACCTAACAAGACCCTGTCACCAAACAACAACCAAGAAATTAGCCCTAGGAGTGAAAACCTCATCAAATGCTTTTGCGGACTAGATCTGATGTGATGCTCTCTCCTCCAAATTAATACACTTTAATACGTTGTTCAGAAGTGAATGAAGGGATAATTTTCCTTTTTTTAAGGAAGAAAAAAAAAGACACTGATTTTTAAAATGGGAAAAGGCTATAGATTAGACACATTTGGATGTTATACATCAGGCTATTCTTGAGAATGATGTCCCATCTATTACTTACCTGTTATTTTTTTCCTTATATTTCTCAAAGTAGATTGTAGATTTGGGGATTTTGTTGTTGTTGTTGTTGTTGTCTTGGGTGTTCTTTTGTTTGTTTCTTTGTTTTTTGAGGCAGGGTTTCTCTGTGTAGCCCTGATTGTCCTGGAGTTTGCTCTGAAGATCAGGCTGGCCTCCAACTCAAAGATACATGGGCCTCTGCCTCCCCAGTGCTGTAATTAAAGGTGTGCACCACCACCACCAGATACCTTGTAGTTTTGAATTCTTCAAAGAATAGGTTATGAGTGGGCTGGAGAGATGGCTCAGTGGTTAAGAGCACTGACTCTTCTTCCAGAGGTCCTGAGTTCAATTCCCAGCAACCACATGGTGGCTCATAACCATCTTGAATGAGATCTTGTGCCCTCTGCTGGCATGCAGGTACAAGACTGTATACATAATAAATAAATAAATAAATAAATAAATAAAATCTTTATTAAAAAAAAGATAGGCTATGAATGTTGCAAATTAGTCATTTCCACAAAACCACTTTGGAGCCAAATGATGATGAATGATGAGATGTTGCCAAGGTTTTTTTGTTTGTTTGTTTGTTTTTTAAGCCAAAAAATGCTACACTTTGCAGTATAATTAGCCCCAGCCTTGCTTGGGAGAAAGTCATTAGTTAGCAGTGGCAGGGAGGAAATGCAGTAGGCACAGCAATAGGCTTGTAGCAGTTGGGACTCCAGCCTTCTTCTATCTGAAACCTCCTTGTCAGTGTGTCCCCAGCCACTCAAGTTGGCTATGGGAGAAAAGCCTGAAGGTGCACCGGATGGACTGTCCCAGGCAATCTAGTAACAGTGTCCATTTTTCTGGGGCTTGGTTGCTTCTCTAGAGCAGCCCTGGGGTTTGAAGAGTGTGTGGGGAGTGGTAGCTGGCAGATTGGCCCTGCAGAAACTCTGCCCTCAGGGATGTCTCTGGCTTTGCAGGCTGTGGGAGAGCCTCACTACTAGATGTGATCACAGGCAGAGGCCACGGAGGCAAGATGAAATCAGGACAAATCTGGATCAATGGGCAGCCCAGCACGCCCCAGCTCATGAGGAAGTGTGTGGCCCACGTGCGCCAGCATGACCAGCTCCTCCCCAACCTGACTGTCAGAGAGACCCTGGCTTTCATTGCCCAGATACGCCTGCCCAGAAGCTTCTCTCAGGCCCAGCGTGACAAAAGGGTAACCAGTTGGCTGGTGATCCCCGGTGTCTGAAAATGTCCTGCTTTGCCAGAAGACCCAGCCCAGCTGGAATCTAACCACCCCACCTTACATGCCAATGTACTTAGCCCCATGGGTTCCCTTCCCAGACCTTATTAAGTGGGTGATAAATGTGTGTTTGTTTGTGTAAGGGTTTTAGGGTGTATCATGTGTGTGTGGGGGGGTGAGGGCGATTATCTGGCCTCTAGTACCCAGTCTTGTTCCCATCCACAACGTGTGGTCTGCAGGATGAATCTGCAGGGGGCCAAAAACTGCTGCGGGAAATAAAGTGTGGCCCCCGGAAGCCTGTATGCTAAGCATGTCACCCTCAGGTAGAGGACGTGATTGCGGAGCTGAGGCTGAGGCAGTGTGCCAACACCCGCGTGGGTAATACATATGTGCGTGGGGTGTCTGGGGGCGAGCGCCGGAGAGTGAGCATCGGGGTGCAGCTTCTGTGGAACCCAGGTGAGGGCTGGAAGCCTGACGGGAGGGGGCCGGAGATAGCATCCTGCCTGCCTGACATTGGACTCACCGTGCATGCGATGTCCCCAGGAATCCTCATTCTGGATGAACCCACTTCCGGCCTTGACAGCTTCACTGCCCACAACCTGGTGAGAACCTTGTCCCGCCTGGCCAAAGGCAACAGGCTGGTGCTCATCTCCCTCCACCAGCCTCGCTCTGACATCTTCAGGCTATTTGACCTGGTCCTTTTGATGACATCTGGCACCCCTATCTACCTGGGAGCTGCGCAGCACATGGTGCAGTACTTCACAGAAATTGGCTACCCTTGTCCTCGCTACAGCAACCCGGCTGACTTCTATGGTGAGTAAGCAAGGCCAGTAGCCCTGTAACCTGGTGCACAGCCATTTGCCAACACCCCTCCCCCAAGCAAAACAAAAGAAAATGGAACTAAGGAACAAAACAACAAACTACTTACTGGGGAAAAGATAGCAGAGACACTGTTATGCATGCCTCAGATGAGGAGGAGCCAGGAAGGAGCGGTAGCATACAGAAGGGAAACTAGTCAGTTTGCCAGGATCAGATCTTCTGACAGATTGCTCCTCTGTGCAGGACAGGTTAGGAATGGGTAGAAGTTTGCAGATGGGTGGGGTGGAGCCGTAATCCAGGAAGTCTTGGATCAGTTTGTAGCAGGGGAAAAAAAAAAAAAAAAAATATATATATATATATATATATATATGTATGTATATATTACACACACACCCTTGTGTTCCACAGAGGCAGGTAGCATAGGAAAAAGGGCCCAGGGCAGGGCCAGTGAGTCTCTGAATATAGACTGCTTGATTGGTCACTGCCTTACCTTTCTTTGGGGTCCCAGGCACTCATTAGTCCATGAAGAACACCAATGAACCACATCATGGGGAGCAATGGCCTTTTCAGGATATCTGCCTATAACCACCCCCCCCCCACAAGAGTGCTGAGGAATAGCTTGGGTGCCCAACAAGTGACCATTGTATCAGAGCCCAGGCAAGCAGCACCTATAGCCAGCTCTCTAGATGACCAATAACCCCAGGTTCTTCTTAGGATGGCAAAGTGCCCACCTTCATGGTATCTCCAAGGTCAGTTCTGTCTTTGCATATTAACTGAGGAACCTTACCCCTGGCCTACTGTGCTTGAGCATTGCTGTGGGGGAACAACCAAAGCTCTCACAGGTGTATCTGGCCCTCAGCCTTGACTCCTGGCCATGCCACCCACACGGTCATTCCAGCATCCCCAGCTACCCGGAGGAAAGGCCATTCTCTTGGCTCCCTTCCCTGCCCTGGGAACTCATGCTCTCAGTGAACTCCCATAGAGGTCACCTCTCCTCCCCATGTTCTGGTTGCCATCCTGACTTCCTGACCAATGTCCTCAGATAAGAGGGCAGAGGACAGCTGCCAACCTGGACATCAGGGGAAGTTTGAAGTGAGCCTGGGAGGGTTACCCAAAACCTAGTGTCCATGGGAGACTTGAAAACTTATGTTATTATTTGTAGGGATAGGGGTCTTGTCTACTAGGCCTGGGGCAGGTGGCTGCCATTAATCTAGGATGCAGGAGCTGCTCACATGGAGTCCAGAGTGCCCAGCAAATGTGACATTTGAGCTGTAGCCTGCACAGAGAGAACCTGTGTGGTTCACAGTGTCCCTCCCGCAAATGATCTTTTCTTGTGTTGTGCAATGAAAGCAGAAGAGGGAGAATAGTGAACAATAGACCCCAACCATACACAGTCCTAGAGTCAGTCTTCAGGGGATAAGATGGTCCTAGCTGTGACTGCTAGACCTGTCCCTTTCTGGCATTGCAGGGACATTGGAGGGAGGGCAGAGCCGTGTGAGAGGAGGGCTGCAGGGTGGGACTGCCACATACAGTGTGGCATCTTCTCAGATTCAAAAGGTGGTTCTTAGTGACTTGGCTCCCCAACTGGGTGGGCTGCCCTAGACTCCCCCAGGGCAAAGCTTAGCATGGGCAGTGGGAGCACTGTACTTGGCTGGTTGCCAGTGCCCTGACCACTTGCAAGATCAAGTTATGAATTCACAACAACAGGCAAATGTATATACAGCTGGAGTTAGAACCATTATAGTCCCATGATGAGGCACCTGGCCCTAAGGGCAACTGCCCACTCTAGGAACATCCCTGGGATGAGTCTGGGGGTGGGACTAGGGCTGGGGCCAGCTCTGCTACTGGCCACTTCATGATCTATAGTCCAACTAAGGCACTGCTTATATGATCAAATCAAGTAGAGTAAGGGAATCAGGTCTCTCTGCCTCTCTTTTTCTGACCATTGCGTCAGAGTTCCTTCCCAGACGGTGGGGAGAGTTTCCAGGGACCAGGTCACCTATGGCCCTGCATCTTCTTCTTGCAGTGGACTTGACTAGCATTGACAGGCGCAGCAAAGAACAGGAGATGGCCACCATGGAAAAGGCTCGGTCACTTGCAGACTTGTTTCTAGAGAAAGTGCAAGGCTTTGATGACTTTCTGTGGAAAGCAGAGACGAAGGAACTGGACACGGTTACCTATACAGTCAGGTACAGTGGGTCAGCTGCCTGAGTGGGAAGTTCCCTGGGGTGGGGCCCCCTAATATGACCACATACTGTTTCCCAACAGCCGGACCCTCCCAGGGGACACAGACTGTGGGACTGCTGCTAAGATGCCTGGAATGATACAACAGTTCACCACCCTCATCCGGTAAATGTCTTTTTTTTTTTTTTTTTGTCCCCCTGTTTCCCCATGCCTTTGAGTATCAAAGTAAAACATTCCCATTGAAGGGGAATTCAAGTGAGGGAGCTAGCAGTAAAACTGTTTGAAAGCCAGCATCCCTAGGACCAGCCTAGCCTTCCTGTGACACGGAGCATTCCTGATAATCTTACTGTCTAAACAAAAATAAAATCGTATTAGTGGCAATCATCATGGAAACAGCCATGTAAGCCATATAAGAAACTCAGACCTGGGAAGGGCAGAGTCCCTGTTGTACCACGCTCACTGAAAGCTAGGTGCACCCACCACACCTGTCTTTTTGTGGGGGAGGGGTGCAGGGGGAGGAGGTTCTGCACATGGGAGCAGGCCCATGTATTGTTTAGGAGTCAGCTATTCAAACCAAGAGTCATGTCCTGTCTGCCTCTGATTAAAGTATTGTGGTTTAGCCTCTCATTTAGCCCAGTCTATTTGGATGGTCTCTTCACTGGGGGGCTTTCACCATTATGAGACACACTGTGGCCAACGTCTTTATGACATACTTGATTTTTCCCTGTAAGTAAACTTGTTACTGATGACAAAAAGCAACCATTCACTGTGTGTGGCGGTGCATGTCTGAAATGCCAGTACTGCAGAGGAGATGACACAAGAGGACACTCACGTTCAAGGCCACCCTGAGCTGTATAACTACAGACCCTGACTCAAAACTGAAACAGGGAGGACACCTCCCAGATAATAGTCATATATTCAGTGACCGGTTTTTGTCAGTTCTTACTTAGTTGTCACACTCTGTGGTGGGTATTACAGTCCACGTTTGGCACATGAGGAAATAAGGTTTCTGGCAATGATATGGCATTCCTAAGGCATGTTGTTCCTTTGACACTCCTTTTTCCTTTTTTTAAAGTCGTCAAATTTCCAACGACTTCCGAGACCTGCCCACCCTGCTCATCCACGGGGCAGAAGCCTGCCTGATGTCTCTCATCATCGGGTTCCTTTACTATGGCCATGACACCAAGCCACTGTCCTTCATGGACACATCAGCCCTCCTATTCATGATAGGAGCTCTCATCCCTTTCAATGTCATTCTGGACGTCGTCTCCAAATGTGAGTGTCACCTCCTCTCCTCACCGAACTGTGGGGCAGCTGGACAGAAGATGTCTGTAGCTAGACAGGGGGCCTCAGCCTCACCCTGTACTGGTCTGAGGCTGACCCCTGTGTTTCTTCCAGGACCTTGGGATAATGGCCTTGTGGAACTATTTCATCATGCCTGTGTGATTAATGTGGCAATTATTTTAAAAGTGCACATTAATATTAGCGTGCAATGAAAGCAAATCGCAGTGTCTTAGCTGTTCCCATCCAAACAGGGTTTATGCTTGGCAGCAACTTGCTGCAATACCTGGGGAGCCTGTGGAACACCTGGAGTAGGGTGGCATCACCATGTCTGTAACTTACAAAGCATATGAACAAATTCAGAAAGCATAACTGCACACACACACACACACACACACACACACACACACACACAGTGTCGGGGATTGAAGCTCTAGCTCTGTTCATGCTAGGAAAGTGTTCTGCCAGGGAATACACACCAGCTTCATATCACTGTTTTCAATGGTATATTACAAGAGACGAATGGCATTACAAGAGGCGTAACATCGGTAATAATATAGATGACTTTGACTCATTCATCTCCTTCTCCTCCTCCATCTTTAGGTCATTCGGAGCGGTCGATGCTGTACTACGAGCTGGAAGACGGGCTGTACACCACTGGTCCATACTTCTTTGCCAAGGTCAGGGCAGAGAGCAGGGGCTGCAGGGCATTGTGCAGACATGTTCTCTGTGGCTACAGAAACCGTATTCTCTAGAAGCGTTCCAGAGGCTTGCTAGTCATTAAATGGTCCACAGAAAGACGGGGGCAGAGAAATAAAAATAATAACTTTTCTGGGCAGCCAGAACCAAGAGGGAGCAGTGGGCAACGACTAGTGATACTTTATGTCCCCAGAGCCTCTGAGTAAGCCAGACAGGTGTTTCAGGAAGAGGCTCAGTGAGGCTATATGACTCTCACAAAGCCACACAGCTGCCAGGTCTGGGCAGGAAGTGTGGAGAATCGAGCCAGGTCTTAGCAGAGCATATACCAGCTGCCTCCATGGAGCGCAACTCTGAGATTTTCCTGCAGTAGAAGCCCAAGGAGAGGTCAGGTTCATGGGTCTTACCTGTAGAGTGCTCCCTGGGGTCAGGGTCCTCTTCTCTCAGTGGAGTGCTCCCCAGGGTCAGGGTCCTTCTCTCCCACTAGAGTGCTCCCTAGGGCCAGGGTCCTCCTCTCCCAGCAGAGGGCTCCCTAGGGCCAGGGTCCTCCTCTCCCAGTAGAGTGCTCCCTAGGGCCAGGGTCCTCCTCTCCCAGTAGAGTGCTCCCTAGGGCCAGGGTCCTCCTCTCCCAGTAGAGTGCTCCCTAGGGCCAGGGTCCTCCTCTCCCAGTAGAGTGCTCCCTAGGGCCAGGGTCCTCCTCTCCCAGCAGAGTGCTCCCCAGGGTCAGGGTCCTCCTCTCCCAGCAAAGGATCCTTCACCGAGAAGGAACGCCAGCATCCTAGGAGCTGCTGCTCCTTAAAACATCTTCAGATAATAGAAATGCTGGTGTTGGCTCCATATCCTAGCGAGGGCTGTGCTTTGCAGGTCCTGGGTGAGTTGCCTGAGCACTGTGCCTACGTCATCATGTATGGGATGCCCATCTACTGGCTGACCAACCTGCGGCCGGTCCCTGAGCTCTTCTTCCTGCACTTCATGCTGGTGTGGTTGGTGGTCTTCTGCTGCAGGGCCATGGCTCTGGCTGCCTCTGCATTGCTGCCCACCTTCCACATGTCCTCCTTCTTCTGCAACGCTCTCTACAATTCCTTCTACCTTACCGCGGGCTTCATGATAAACCTGGAGAACATGTGGACAGGTGAGGGCTGTCCCCTTGCCTTGCCCGGGCATCTGTAGGCCTCTATGGCTGGTTAAGTCCTCATCTAGAGGTGAAGGTTCATCAGTTAGGCATTTCTCCGTGCCTTTGCCAGCTGCACTGCAGGCTGGGGGATACTGGATGCTTCCCCACAGCCCTCGCATATTCCCAGAAGTCACCCTGACTCCCTCCCTCACCACATCCACCAAGGAGCCAGGCCTGAGATACCCCCTTGGTTTTATCACAGCCCTGGCCCTCATCATTGAACCCTGTGCCACCCGTAATAGTCTGGTCTCTAGGTGGCCTTCTCAGTGTTCAGCTAGGCAGAGTGAGCTTTCTGAGGGATGAGTTCCTGTCCCTCTTTGTTCAAAGCCTCTCAGAGCTGCTGGCTCCCTGGTGTCCCCCCCCCCCCCCCTTTGGGAGCCCCCCCGCCCCCCCCCCCCC